AGTTATTTAGTAAAGTTGATATTAGATGCCAATTGGACAATGCATATAGGAGTGAAAATTTATAAACGTACGTTTTCATGTCCCTGGCCTTTTACTTCGTAGATACTGGATTTTTAGTTTATTATTATGTGTTTTAATATTTTTTGGGACGGGGGCAACATGTTACACACATTTATTTGGTTTTAAATAGGTTCTCGGTATTTTTTTCGTATTTTTAAAGTCTCTAAATTCACGACCATGACGTGTCCCTAGGGTACATTTTCCAACTTTCACGCTGTTTTTAGACTAATTATTCATGCCGAAATATATAAAGCCATATTTTTATGTCATCAATGGTTATTAAACTTACAAAAAAGGAGCATATTATAATTTTATTGTCATTGCAAACTGACTAGCATGACAAAATAAGTCTGTCCCTCGATTTGGCGTCACGACCATTTGGGAAAAATTTTCAACTTTGGAGCACGATAGTGGCAAGCCTGGCGTCGATGGAGTCAGTTGGTTTTAGAGACTAGTTCAGGGTGTACGTCAGGATTGTAGTGCCGGTCGTTTCGAGTTGAAAGGAGGAATTACAAGATTAATAAAGGAAAGATTGTGTTTTTTGTAATTTTGGTGTGTCCATGACCGTACGTAGTCATTCGATGAAGTAGACATGGTGTTAATTTTTGTTTATAAGATATTTCAATTGCTAGATTAACCTAGAAGTCCACTTTGTATCCTCGAACATGAGGTGCAGGGCTACCGCCAGAACAGAGCCAAATAACACGTAATTTCACGACCAAAGTTTCACGACCATCGCGGGTTTTTCACGACCAATCCAGCCTTATGGATTATAGTGTGTTTGGTCGTGACAATAACTTTAATATAATTGTAAATTGAACAGTTTAGTTCAATTGAAACACATATTTTTATTATAACTAACAGTATAATAGAAAGATTGTTTAGAAAGAGTTAGGCTAGATTATTTCAAAAAATTCACGACCGTACCGCTTGTCCCTGACCATCACGTTTACGATTTCTATCATAGAAATTTCAAAAATTAAAATATCGTCATATTTCAATGTTTTATACACAAAAGAAGCACACCTCTATACAAACATAACGATTTTTCGGGTCTCAGGTAAGTTTTTTCGGAGTTATACAAACTTAAAAAGATTTTATTGGCTTTTTTCCAATTTTTTGAGTTTTTTAATTTTTTTTTAGAAAGACCAAATATACCAAAAGCTCAGTGACCTTTTTATTGTATAATGGTCATAAAAGTAAATTAGTTTATAGCAAAATATAGTTATAAAAATAATATGAACTATTTTAAATATTCATTTAAACGTCTGTTATGGTCGTGACAGGATTTTGTGTTTTTCCACTAAAGATGCTCTTTTAAGAAAAAACTACCAAAGATATTGCGTTACCATGGACATTTTATGAAACTTCAAATGTTAATGAAATAAAAAAAATAATAAACGTTTTGAAAAAAGGGGGAAAAAATTGCAAAGTGCTTTTCCTGAAAACGTATGTTTTTAAATTTTCACTCATAGGTTAAAAATACAAAAACAAAATGAAGATGTTTCGAAAAATCGATACATTCTAAGTAAGCTAATTGATGCAATTAAATTTTGTGGAGCGTTTGAATTAGCATTACGAGGACATGATGAACGCGAAAATTAAAAAAATCCTGGCATATTTCGTGGTTTGGTTAACCTTATGGCGGAGCTGGATGTAACATTGCAACAGCACATAAATCAAACAAATAACCGAGTGTTTTTGGGTCTGTCTAAAACCATACAGAACGAGTTATTGGACTCAATATATTACGTTTGTCTGCAAATGATTCGTGACGAATTGACACAAACCGACTATGTTGCTATTGAAGCCGACGAAACAACAGACTGTGCCACTTTATCCCAACTAGTATTTGTTATTAGGTACGAGCTGAATGGCACGATTCACGAGCGATTTATCACTTTTATTAGACCAAAAGGCCATGATGCAGAATCAGTTAGCGAAACAATTTTTGAAGTATTAGAGCAATTAAACCTCGACAAAACTCCTGATAAAGTCATTGCCCAGAGCTACGATGGGGCTTCCGTAATGAGTGGCCAACACACGGGAGTACAAGCGCGTGTAAAATCTAAATATAAGAATGCAAATTTTGTCCACTGTTACGCACATCAATTAAACTTAATCATTGAACGCAGTGCTACACAAAATAAGCAGGTTAAGATATTCTTCAGTAATATCGAGGGGTTTTCATCATTCTTTTCCCAGTCAACAAAGAGAACTGCAGTTCTCGATGAGATAGTAAAACGTCGTATTCCAAAAAGCTCAGGTACTCGGTGGAATTTTAAATCCAGAATTGTAAGCACAATTTTTAATCATCAAAGAGAGTTGGAGGAATGTTTAAGCTACATACTCGACGATGACACCAATGACTATGCCACAATAAATAAAGCTGTTGGCCTAAGAAGTATTCTAAAAGACGAAGACTTTATTTTCTGGCTGGACTTTTTCAATCAAATACTGCCCCACAGTGACATTCTGTACAACCAACTGCAGCAAACAACAATTGATTGCGTCAAGGCGTTTAAGTTTGTAGGCGATTTCAAAACTGTAGTAGATCGCGTAAGAAACTCGACCATGTTAGATCAACCGAGAGATAGTGAACCCGAATCGAGCAAAAAGCGGAAAAGACACGACGATCAAAAACGCGTTGTCGCAAAGGAAGTGTGTGACATAATTACGTCGGGAATTGATGACCGTTTTACGTTAGTAAATCATTTGTCCGCGGCAAAACTGTTTCAGCCAAGTTTGTTTGGGGAGTTTAAAACCAAGTTTCCCGAAAAAGAGTTACACGCTGCTGCGGAACTATTTAGCCTAAATAAAACTGAATTGAAACAGGAGTTAAATGTTATTTACAATAGGGATGATTTTTCAACGGCCACAGGGTCATTAAGACTACTCAACTTTGTCTATGACAACAACCTCAAAGATGTGCTTCCAGAGTCAATCAAACTTTTAAAAATCATAAGCACAATACCTATGACTACTTCGGAAAGTGAACGTTGTTTCTCTACTTTGAAACGAATTAAAACGTTTACCAGGAGTACCATGAAACAAGACAGACTAAGTGCGCTTGCTATGTGTTCTATCGAAAAAAAGCTGTTGTCAACTTTAAACTTCAACGAAAAAGTAATAGATCACTTCGCCGGGCAGAAAGAAAGGAGGATGGATTTCACATTCAAACAGTACAATTAAAGTTAGGCCTTATCCTCATGTTATGGTTTTCTACTTATATTGCCGTGGATGTTTTAATATAAAATACAATTAGTCAAGCCTTACCCTCATGGTTTGGTTTTCTATTCGTTATTGCCGTGGGTGTTTAAATTATACAATTCAATCAATGTCAGGCCTTACCGTTTGGTTATCTACTCATTATTGCGGTGGATTTTTTACTATTAAATTATCAATTGTTAGTTATATTTTCAATACAGTGTAGTCCCGTTTTACAAGGCCGTAGGCAGGGAGGGGGGTTAGAGGGTCAAACCCCTCCCCCAAAATTCCGAAATTGAGCAGTACAAATTAAAACTAGGTTTAAAAAGTTGAATTATGAAATAAAAACCACAATAGAGGATTAATTGTTATGTTTTGCAATATCTATTCATATTTAATATAGGCCTAGTTCTATTAGGATAATAAATCTGATCTATTAAATAAATTGGTAAAAACTATTTAAAAAATATACTTTACTTTACTCTACTTATGTCTATCTGCTCATGCATGACAAACAACAGGTGAAATGGGAGTTTTTGGACTATTATTGGACACAGTTTTAGGCGTTAAAATTGCTTCAGAAAGTCACCAAACGGCTTTAAAAATTTAAAATTTTTTCCGGGGGAGGACCCCCCTCTTCTGTTGGGGGGTGCTCCACACCCCCCAAACCCCCCCCCTGGACTAGGTCCTAGAGCCGCCACTGGATATAGTGTAGGCCTGTTATAAAATTAAAACTGTCCTAACCTAGCTTAGAACCTGACCTAAAAAAACTGAACTATTACTTTCAAAATCCCATTTGATAACAGAAAATGGAAGCAAGGAGGATTGGTCATGTCTTTACAGCTGTGTCACTGCATTAAATCCTTTGAAGTTACCTAGGTTGAATAAGGGAAGGCAAAGTTTAGGTTGTAATTTGTAATGAACCTACAATATCTCATTTCCAATTATTGGTTCGAGCCGACCAGAATATCGCCTACATGCTTGAATGCTTAGTCATAAAATCAAGCTCGAGCCAAGCTTTTGACTATGGCAACGTAATCAAGATTGCAGGACTTGTCTGCAAAGATGCCATGGTAAAAAAATTCATGTTTTCACATTCATGTTATTGCAAATCGTTGAGGTTCATGCAAAAAGTCCTATGTAAAACAACCGTACTTTTCAAGAAGCAAAAAAAAAACTAAAATCGCCTAAAGGCTAAGCTTTGTTTTGTTGACGTTCTAAAAAAGCAAAAGTCTTACAGTAGGTACATTGTCAGTGGTTGTAATACTGTAATTCCAGGCCTCTCCGCTGCTCTGCAGTGCTAAACACAGTTCACTGGTTCAAATCCAGCTTGAGGCTCCCAGGGAGTTGGTGTCAGTGGACTACACAGGCATATGATATCAACATCCTCAAAATAGGCTCCTAGCTGCCAGGAAACCCAAGAAAGGCTCCGGAGTGGCAAGCCTATGCCTTTATAATATGGAAGATCTGATATTATATGTTCTTGTGCACTCCCAGTAAACACTCGTTTTGCTTTTGTAGAATGTCAAAACAAATCCTAGCCTTTAGGCGATTTTAGTTTTCCATTTGTCCCCTAAAAAGTACAGTTTTTTACGTACAACTTTTTGCATGAACGTCAACGTAATGACAAAAAAGTTTCAGTATCCTCTTCTTAATGAGCATAAAGTATATCCATCGTCTAGTTACTTGTTTAAGACCATATGGCCAAATATCTAGATCAAATATTAACTCACCCAATACGGGCTGCTAGTTCTCTAACAGCTTGTAGTAGCTGCGCGCGAGTAGACTAGCAGGTTCAGTGATGCTGAAACGCCCCATGGACACAAGGCGATCACACGTCCTCATCAGGAAACTAAGAGAACTCTCCGGGGTCGATGTTGTATCTCCTCCAACCACCAACACCAATTGCCACATCTGAAACATGCCACAAGTTAGTGTAGGCCTACTTTTTAGGAGGAAAAAACTAAAATTGTTTTTAAGCTAAGCTTTGTTTTGAAGTTCTAAAAATGCAAAAGTCCTACAGTAACTTTTGTTAGTGGTTGTAATGGTTCCAGGCCTCTCCGCTGCACTGCAGTCAGCGCAGCGCTTAAAACAGTTCACGGGTTCGAATCCCGCCATGATTCTCCTAGGGAATTGGTGTCAGTGAACAGGCATATGATATCAGCATCATCGGGATAGGCTATGGGCACTTAACACGTTCGCTGTGAGAATCCCTTTGGCAGTATACCGGTACGGTCATAATGCGACGCAGCCTCTGCGCGCCAGTGAATCAGCGAACGCAATAGCATTAAAATAATTCGGTCTTGACAGCAGCAAAACAGCGATGGTGATGGTGCTGTGTTACCCTGAGAGTGGACGTAAGTTCACTGAAAAACTTACAGATAGCAGCACTGCCTGGATATGTAGCCAATGTTTTTGTAATGGCTCGAAAAGAGAAAATCCCTGAAAACAAGACAAAAAGCATTGCCAGACGGGATTTTACGGGAAATGTTACTACCAACTTAAACCCAAATTAAAGTAGGTATAGGACCAGCACAACATGCTGAAATAGTTTAGTTGATCCCCGATAAATGCGGAGGTCACAATAGACCAACTTGTTACACACTGCATTGTTACATGACTCTGATCGGAGTCGTCAGCAGCTAATGTGTTAAGCTGCAAGAAAACCTTAAAAAGGCTTAGGTGTGGCGAGACTATGCCTTTATAATAGGGAAGATCTGATATGATATATTATTGTGAACTGCCACTAAACACTGGTTTAGCTTTTTAGAATATCAAAACAAAGCTTAGCCTTTAGGTGATTTTAGTTATTTTTTTTCCTCCTGAAAAGTACAGAATGGCTTTTTGCATGAACGTCATTACGTCAACATATCTATGTACGTTCTTATCTACATTCTTTATGAATCTTCTTCATTCTTCATTCTTTATCGTCAAATGACTAATTTCAGATATAATATGACCCAACCAAACAAGATCAATATTATTATTTAATCAATGCTGAAAATTCACTCACCAAATATGGGCAGCTTGTTCTCTAACAGCTCGTAGTAGGATACACAAGAGTAGACTAGCAGGTTCTGTGGTGCTGGACACAAGACGATCCACAAGTCCTCATCAGGAAACTAGAGAACTCTCCAGGGTCGATGCCGTATCTCCTCCAACCACCAACACCACACCTGAAACAGACCCCAAGTTGGTGTACTTTTCAGGAGGCGAAAAAAAGCTAAAATCGCCTATAGACCAAGCAGATTGCAGCAGCAAAGCGCTTAACGCAGTTCACGAGTTCAAATCCCGCTTGAGGTCCTAGGGAGTTGGTGTTGGTGCACAGTCATCCTCGGAATAGGCTCTGGGCACTTAAGCTGCCAAGAAACCCAAGAAAGGCTTAGGTGAGGCGACCCTATGCCTTTCTAATAGGTAAGGTCAGGTATTATAATATGTTATTTTGAACTGCCACTAAACACCCGTTTTGCTTTTTTAGAACGTCAAAACAAAGCCTAGCCTGTAGGCGATTTTAGTTTTTGTTTTGTCTCCTAAAAAGTACAGTTTTTTTAGTACAACTTTTTGCATGAACGTCAACAAAACGACAACAAAGTTTCCAGTGTACTATTCTTAATGAGCATAAAGTATATCCATTGTCTAATTACTAGTTTCAGACCAAATAGCCAAATATCTAGATCAAATATTCACTCACCCAATATCAGGGCTGCTTGTTCTCTAAAGGCTCGTAGTAGGATACACAAGAGTAGACAAGCAGGTTCTGTGGTGCTGAAACGCCCTATGGACTCTAGACAATTACAAGTCCTCATCAAGAAACTAGAGAACTTTCCAGGGTCGATGTCATATCTCCTCCAACCATCCACCACACCTGAAACATGACACAAGTTGGTTAGTATCATCTTTGACTATTGATAGTACTAGACACAAATGTTAGATAATGTTGTTAGTTTTTAAAAATAAAAATGATCGTTGTTTGGAACCAACGACAGTGTGTCAATAACTGATTTCTGTGGTACCGTGGGTACCTATACATTCACTATCCTCTTAACAGCCAATCTAATAAGATATCTTACAAAAATTTAGAGGAACTTTTAAATCGCATTATTGATTAAAACATCAAAAACATTAAAGGGAAATATCGTTTTGCCACTAGTGCACTCTGTAAAAGACTCATTCAACTAAGTTAAATTTTCATCCAATAAAATAACACTGTTAACTAACACAAGAGATGTCTATTTATTTCATTTCAGTATTTAAAGCCAATTGTATCATGTAAACGGTGATTTGATACATGTTACAGTATGTTGGTATGAACAGTCTAACCTATTTTAAATTAAGTTAAATACCGTACTCACTCAAATGCAAGAAGGGTAGCAACATAAATTTTGGCTTTTGTCACTAGGCCTACAAAAAATACTTAGTTATTAGGCTACCGATAAGAGGGTCAGCCATTTGTATAATCATCTGAACCATGACAGATAAAATGAGAACTGTACAAAAATGAAGTTTGATCAATTTTCTAGGTAAATAGGGAACTTTAGCTGGTTTTGTTTCCAGTACCTAGATACTAGGTATAAATTATCGGATCAAAAAAATTACAATAGGACATTTCTTCAAGCCCTCCTTATAAAAATAGGTACCCATCATAATTTAAAAAGCACTGTTATTCTAGTTTTAGATAGGCCTAAATAAGTTAAGGAATGACCAAAAATATTTAGAGATAATAATTAAATATTTAAAACAGAGCCATACACCTACCGATATAAAATACAGGCCTATAGCCTAAACATGAGAGTAGGCTTATATTAACAACAAAAACAAATTCAGTCCATCACAGTCTCTTTAATCTAATCAAATTGTCTATTGGATTTGGATACTAGCATATACTAGGAAGGACAAATTGGGGAAATAACTCCAAAGAAACTGAAAGTGTGAAGTGATTAATGTATTCAAATCAAATCATTTTATTGAGCTAAAATTGACAATACATATTGCATTAACGGTTATTAATCAATATTTTGAATTCGATAGTTTCAATTGATATTAGCATAGCCCAGTTAAGAAACTGTACCCTAATTAAGTCATAGTACAAACGTACAGTATGAAAATTGTAGTATTAAGTTAGTATTAACCTATAGTAATTAAGTAATTTGTATATCACCAGACACTAGATTTTACCTTAAAATAATGGTGCAAATGTTTCCCTGTAGAGAAAAATTCTTCTAGATAAACTAGGCCTACAATCGTTTGAATTTCGTTTGTCTGCTTATCTATCTACGTCGTCTGTCACCATCAAAACAATGATAATACAGAATTGTATCGAATGGATGTGGAATTGTGGGTGGACGGATGGTGTAGGAGAAGAAGAAGAAACCAGACAACTCTTAATATGCAAAGACTACAAAGCGATAAAAGGATTTTCTCAACAGAGCGTTGATTATTGTAAACTAATAAGCTATTTTTTAGCCATGCCAGAAAGTTTGGTCGGGTGCTATCACGGCCACCTTTAACTACAGGCCGCGGCCTGGTAGAATTGGCAACGTCACAAGTGGTGTTGTTTAGTGACAGACATTCCATAAGATAACATGGCAGACAGGTGACATCAGCTCATTAATTCGCACTTTATTGATTTAAATTTAAATTTATGAACATAAATTTATTGAAATATTGAAAATAAAACAAACAGAATTGAAAACCGAAACAATTTGAATTAAAAATCTATATCTGTGCATTTTAAGTGGAGTCAATACAGTATTGTGATAGTCCAGTAACGAGGCGTAAAATAGGATCTATTGGAAAAATAAGAAATGTTGAGGGGAGAAGAGCTTTAGAAACATTTGTGGAATCATTGCCTATATTGCCCTCTCATTATTGTCGGAAAAACAGCAGCAAGTTATACCTAGAACCTGGATTTGGTAAAAATTGGGTTAATGTGTACAACGAGTGCGTAAAATTTTGTTTTGGAGATGGAACTAATCCAGTAAAGCCTCTGTCACAATGTGTTTTTGACAATTTTGTAAAAGAAAAAAAATCTTGCTTTTCAGCAGCCTAAGAAAGACCGATGTGACAAGTGCATCATGTACGAGACTGGAAACTTAGACGAGGAAAACTATCGAGATCATATTGAAAAGAAAGAGAAAGCATCAAGGACAGAAAAAGAAAATGACATAAAAGAAGCAAAGAAGGGTTCATCCACCGTTCTTACCATGGATAAGGTTTTTGGTACAGTCAGTAAAAGTATCACCAAGTTTAAATGCAAGTGCCTTGTATTACAAAACCAAATTTGTCTGCCACAATTTTACCATTTATGATGTAGTTACTCATGACACTAAATGCTATTGGTATAATGAGAGCCAAGCAGATCTGTGTGCTAGTACATTCGCTAGCTGTGTTATTGAGTATTTAGAGGAAATGTGTGACTGTTCCAAGCCGATTATAATATATAGTGATGGCTGCACTGCACACAACCGAAACTCGACAATGTCCAATGCTTTGCTTTGTTTTCGTAAAGAGAAAAATGTTGAAATTGAACAAATGTTCTTGACCAAAGGCCACACACAAATGGAAGTGGATTCTTTTCACTCATTAATTGAAAGGAAGATTAAAGATCAAAAAATACACTTACCATCTGACTACATCAGGCACACAGAAATGGCCAGAAAGACTCCCATAATCCGGACAAAAGAAGTAGGGTTTGACTTCCCTAAAGATTATGGTAAGTGGTAAGAAGTCATTACTGGTGTACGACAGCATACGGCCTGGACGGAAACCAGGGGACCCTAAAGTAACCAACATTAAGGCCATCAAGTACGCTAAAGGAGAAATTGAGGTTAAGTTGAAATTTGAATTTGATGAACCTTATTTTGCCCTGCCCCAAAGGGTAAAGAGATCTTGCCCAAGTTTGTCGAGTTTTCCTTTAGTAAGAAATGCGCCGATTCCAATAACGAATAGAAAATGGCAACATTTACAGCAACTTAAGGAAGTTATTCCACGTGATTGTCACGCATTCTACGACCAGCTACCTCACGAGGGATAAGAATCATTCATAGTATCAACAACCGGGAACTTAGGGACACTAACCACTCTTGAGGCTGATTTTATAAGTAATTTTTTATACCTTTGTGTATTTGTAAATATTATAACTTTTTTATAACTGCAAACGGCATTATTTAATCTCAGTGTTGATTTCTTAAGTAGGTACAACTTTGTAATAATGTTTATACTTTAGTATTTTAGGGACGTTAGAAATCTTAAAACTCATTGTAATGATTTTTCACTAAAAGGTCTTGAGGCTGATTTTACAAATAATTTTTTATAAATTTAATACTTTTTTATAACTGCAAACAGCATCCCAGTGTTGATTTCTTAAGTACATCTTTGGAATGATTTTTATACTTTAGTATTTTAGGGACGTTTGAAATCTTAAGACTCGTTGTAATGAAGTTTGTATTAATAAAGTGTTGTATTTGAAATACCTATATATTTTGTAACTTAAAAACCTTGTATGTCCTTTAGCTTAAGAAGTGATACCTCGTATGACCTTGTATGTACCAGACTGTAAGAAGTGATACCTTGTATGTAAACGATTTTTGTTATTGGAATAGGAAACACTCATTTAAGTATTTATTATAATGTAAAATAAGAACATAATAGTTTGTCAACATTAAAAAGGCATCTAGAAATATTCTTGTAAAAAAAACCAGTTTTTTCTACCTCCTGAAAAATAGTGATTTTGGACGTACATGTTATGTCACACAGTTAGGCTAACGATAAGTAAACTGTTGTAGTTTTCTTGTTTATGAACATATTTTGATCAAATTTATAAAATGCATTCATTTCATACTAAACTATTAACATTTTACAAAAAAAAAACACCTTTTTACCTTCCCTGTTGCAGCAAACCTAAGTACTCGTTAAACTAATGTTATTTAAATAGGGAATAAATGTTATATTTTAAGGAGACATTTTAGTGTAAATCCAATCAGGCAAATGGAAATTCGATAAGTCTTCAGGTTTGCTGCGGCGGCGGTATTTATTTGTTTTATTGTTTGAAAATACATTAAGAATACGATAGTCCGAAATTGTTGGGACCAATTGACCTTTAAAAAAGAATTAATTTAGTATATTGAAGCATTGTTGTATAGGTACCTAATGGCATAGACTAACCAACTGCTAATGGTTACAGAGAAAATTCAAAAAAGTGTAAATTCAAAATTCCCTTGTTATTCTTATGGAGAAAATGAAAACTGTTGTAGTTTACTTGTTTATGGATATTGTTGATACAATTTGGCAAATTTATTTATTTTATACTATACTATTGACGTTTGGTCAAAAACACTTTTACCTTCCCCGTAGCAGCAAACCTAACCTAAGCACTCGTTAAATCTATTGCTATTTAAATTGGGAATAAATATGTCTTATTTATGGAAATATTTTAGTAAAAATCAAATCAGGCAAGTGGAAATTGTCTTAGTCTGCAGGTTTGCTGAGCGGGGGTATTTTTATTTTAAGATATTTTTAATAATCAATCATTATAATACTGTTTATACACATTCGTTTGTATTTATAGATGTCCTGGAACATTTTCTTCTTCTATGTCCAGGGGTTTAACGGTTTATCCAATAATAATCGATATCTGCATCACTGGCATACTTCATTTTCAAACCTGTGTCTCCCATTGGTTACTGTTGGTCACATGACCCCTTCTTTATGCTTTCGAGAAAGAAGACCAGTAACGCTTCCATTTGGCGGTTCTACGTTAGCGTTGGTTTTTGACTCCATACTGCATCTAACAAAATGGTAAGAAATCCAAGTTAATCTGCTCTCTAATTGTATTTTTTGTCATGTTTTTCATATTTTTGTAGTGTTCAAAACGTAGTTTTCATGTTATAAATATACAATTCATGGAGTTAATTATTTGTCTGATGCAATTCTGTTTTGTATGTAGGCCGGTGGAAAAGCTGGAAAGGACTCGGGAAAAGCAAAAGCGAAAGCAGTTTCAAGATCTGCCAGAGCTGGTCTACAGGTAATTATTAATTTAATTGTGTTTTTGGTTTTAAAGGTTAAGATATCCATACATTTTCCCCAATTAGAGTTACAGAAATTTCAAACATTTTTTTCTTCCATTTTACCGCCAAAATGATCCCGCTCTAGGCCTAGCCTACTTTGTATTTGTATGTTGGTCTATGTCCAAGATAATATTTGCTATTTGTTCTTATGCCTTATTCATTTAAGAGATATGGGTAATATTACCTGCTATTGCCTATGGACTTGATAAAGAAGTCTTTGTCCCTGAATTAGGCTAGCCTAGGCCTAGGACCTGTTCGTTTATTAGGCCTAGCCTATAGGCTATGTAGCCTCAGAGTTATGTCAAGGTCAAGTCAAACTCAAAACTTCCCAAAGCATTTTTTTGTTTTTGTCTAAATAGCTTAAAACTTAATTTAGGCCCTAGGCCTAGACCTAACTTGGGCTGTTAACCCTCCGAGTGTCACGCGTCATAAAAACGACGCACAACACACTTTGTGTAGGGTCACGCGTCGCTTTTAAGACGCACAAACATCGTTTATGGCGTAGGCTCTATGACTGACTGAATCGGATTGAACTGGATCGAGTTAGGTATCGTTCTTTCCGTAATATTCTAAGCTTTCTCCAGAGGTCTGTCTCTAAGCGCTATTCATTTTAGTTCCGAAAATATTGTAGCAGACAGCTGACGTGCGTGTATTTGTAAACAGCTAGGTTCCCCCGGACCGATGACTGATGTGTTTTATTACGTTTATCATTGTTTTAGTGTTAAAAATCAAAAGTAGTGATATACGTGGTGCATTATAAGAAGATTTAAGTGGTTTTGAAGTGCTGGTTGATGATCCTGAAGAAGTAGGTAGTGATATTGATGTAAATTATCAGCCAGATTCCTAGCTATGGTTAGGCTATGCATTCTTAGCTAAACGCTATGTACTGAAATCCGTTTTTCGCTCATAACTTATTTATTTGATAACTTACCTCGCTATATGATTATATATTTGTAATCCTCATTAAATTTAGAACAAAGTGGCTATTTTCAAATATTTATAGGCCTATAATTTATACAATTTCATTGAGCGCGAACTTTTTTTTTTTTTGAAAATTTTCGAAATTATATTTTTTTTTACCTAAAAATTTTTTTTTGAAAAAATGTTCCTTATGTTTTATATATAATATTGAAGCCCATGATTTTCCAAACAAAATGGTATATAGAACATTAGAACTAACATTGTTTTAAGCTTCTCAGATCCGTTTTAATAAAACCTTGCAAAGGGGCCAAAAATAGGTGGACATTAAGGCCTAAACTATGGACACTCGGAGGGTTAAATTAATTTATTTTAGGCTCGGCTTTTAGTAAAAGTCTAATTTAGGCTAGGCCTAGGCCCAGGCCTAGATTTGAAATGCTTTAATAGCATTTTGATAGGCCTACATAACAGCCTAATTTAATAGGCTATTATAGAAAAAACAAGCCTAGCCTAAGTTAACTATTACAGTCAGACCTTGAATTGCGGTTAGCCTAGCTTAGGCCTATACATAGGCTAGTAAATAAACGTTGCTTGCCTTTTTATATTTGAGTTAAAATGTGTTAAACGCTGCTGCAACCTATTCCGACTAAGCCTATTGTATCTGTGAGGTAGCCTATCAATTATGACTATGAAACCCTTTGTGTGCCACACAACGATATATATCGTTTTGCACAACACATCTGAAAAATGCTGAAAATTACTTACTCAACCATACATCATCGTCGGTAATCTTACCGAAAAATGCATTGCAATGATTCTTTATATCATGCTGGCACGACTTTTGATCATGTGAGTTTTAATGGGCATATCCGTTGACTCGTTTGTTATGTAGGCCTATTAGGCTATAAAACAACGATGATTTCAATTGATTTCTCATACGATTGTGGTACGATATATAGTTCCATGGCACTTTTGGGATGGAAATTTACTTATAGGCCCCTACTTTTACCGATTTTTTTTCTTGCGCACTAAGTAGGCTTCACCCCCACAAAAAGCCTGGCACTTTTCGGATACCTATAGGTAGGGACTCTGGCACTTTTACTCGGAAAGTACCTAAATAAATTTCTGGCACCCAAAGGGTTAAAGATAAAGTTGTATTAGCCTAATACTAAATTTTTAATTTATTTAATTTTGTATGTGCTGACATACAATAGCTTAAGTCGCCTAAGCTACGAGCGCACAAGGGCTGTACGCCACGGAAGGCATTTTTAAGGGGTGGTGCGTGCACTTGGGTGGCATGGATGGGACGGGACAACCGCACATCCGCAATTTAAGATAGTCTGTCAGCTATAACTGTGAGTTCACTTTAATGGAGACTATGAGACAGTGGAGAATGGAGGAAATCTTGTGTGCCACCCACCCGGTCGGTACGGCAGCTCGGAAATGTCCAAGAGTTCTGTCTCTCGGACTTTTTAACAAACAGCGGAAGCTGCCGAACGTCCGCTACCGGTCGCCCCGCCGTAGTGGGTGCACTCATTTTACATTCAATGTTATTAACTTTTAAAAATTGCCGAGCCGGCTGCCTGTCTGTGCCGCCCTAGTGTATATGTAACTCTAGTCCGGATGTTTAACTTTTAAAACTGTAATTTGTAGGCCTAGGTTTAAGTTTAACTTATGTCTGGATTGGATATAGGCTGAGAAGGAGATTTTTTTTAAGTAAGTGAGATGGAAGAGGATACCGGTAATAATAAACTTTGTGGAACCTACCCTCAAAATATGTTAACTGTGCTTGACACCTTTTTTTGCGGTAGGCCTACTTTTGATGGTGTATCCGTGTACTTTGCTCCTGCTTTTACCCTTCCATTTTGAAATACTGAGTGCCTGTCAAGCACTTTTGTTTTGTGCTGCTATCTGTTGGTTTCTTGTAAAACTACGTCCACAGCTACAGTAGACCCTCTCTAATCTGGCACTCTAGTAATCCGGCGTCTTTTGACAGGTGAAGTCTTCCGCGATCGCAGCGAAATCATCAACATCTGCCACGGATGTGAATACATCATTATTATCCACTCCCGCGGTCACAAACACGTCATTGTCGTCTTGCGCGATCATCATAATATGCCTCATCCTATAGGATGAAACTAGATTTAACAATTTTTTGCTCATTCATACATGCAGTACATTTGCTATTCCCTTCACCCGCTTATCATACGCAACCGCAGCAAACAAGTTTAAGATAATTGGATACTTTGGTATTATACCGGCCACACCTAAATTGGTTACCGTTAGGTTCAAAGGTTATCTTACTATACTATAATAGGGCTGTGTTTACTCGAGTCTATGTGTAAACTATGTCTCCAAAATGGCATTTTTATGTACCATTTCCTTGTCCAATGTTAGTGAGACAAATTTTATGCAATGTTTATGCACTGCTGTATTACATGCAGTAAAAAAACACATTATGTATGCCCGAGGGGGGGGGGTCGCCCATCCCCCCCCCCTATCCACCACTGTTTATATGTGGTCGGTAGCCTATAATACCATGTGCCAATAATTGCCATAATTTTGATGTCAATAACTTCCAGTAGGCTATTCAAAATGTTCTCATTTCTGATTTCTTCAAGGCAGATCAGTAAAATTAAGACACTTGTAAATTTTCAGTTTCCTGTGGGCAGAATTCACCGACACTTGAAAAACAGGACCACCAGCCATGGTCGCGTCGGTGCCACTGCTGCGGTGTACAGTGCTGCCATCCTTGAATACCTCACAGCTGAGGTAGGCCTATCTAACATATAACTAAAATAGTTAAGTTTTTATTTTCAAATGCCAATTAAATCATGTTGCTGGAAAATTTGTGAGCTTCACAAAAATTAGCAAATTTTTTGTCTGGCCCATAATTTTTGAAATTTTACTGATGGAAATTTTACTTAGGCTAATCGTATGAGCTGAAATTTTGATTTTTAATAGCTTCCTCTTGAGTTCTAATCCTTCTTCGTACTAAAAACATTTTTAGACCCCTTTTATACTCTGTGGAATACAGGCTGCGATTGATGGCAGATGCCTCAAGTTTGTGTGGTCGGTGGCCTAGTTAGTTGATGGTGGGAATGTAAGGGCTACCAATCTAATATTTAATACAAGTACGATAACTTAATTTGGAGCGAGTCTAGTGATGGAGAAAAGAAAAAGTTAACTACAGTAGACTCCCTCTTATCCGGACGCCTTTTAACCGGACATTCGTTTAACCGGACTAGACTCGGCGGAAATGAAATCTCTTTGACCGGCAAATTTTTATCAGCACATAGGTTTAACCCTACATCTGCTGGAAGCTGGCGGTACTGAAACGAGTTTTCTTGTGGGAAAAGATTTGAGATACGTGATCACGTGTCTAAACACCATTTTCTCCTAAATTTAAGTCCAACTATAGGCCTACAGTAAACGGTCTGTTTTAACGTGTTTTTTGGGGACATCGGTTTAACTGGAAAACCCGTTATCCGGACTGGCCTTGGTCCCGAAGAGTCCGGATAAGAGGGAGTCTACTGTATGAACTTGAATGGAGTGTGTAAAATATTATGTTGAATTATTTATATTTTTCTACCCAGTCATTAAGATTTCATTCTTTAAAATTATACACAAATTAAAATTATATTATTATTAGACAAATTATACAGGTCGCGGTAGGGGAGTGCTTTGTTTTGAACACAAAGATACCGTAGTGCAGCTTGCGGAATGCTGCAGAGTATAAAATAAAATCTCCAAAATAACGCAACGTACCTTGAGGCCAAATGTAGGTCGCGCATCTAGCCCTGGTATTAAAGCTCAACTCTTGGTAAATAGTAATAGCCTAGTGTTTAAGCTCCTATTGAACACCCGCAGTAGATAATGACTTCTTTTCTTTTCTAATTGCTGGTTAATCTTTACATTTTCATAGAGACTGGGAGATAAATAGAAATCTTCAATTTTCCAGGTGTTGGAGTTGGCTGGAAACGCTTCAAAAGATTTGAAAGTAAAGAGAATCACCCCAAGACATTTACAGTTGGCTATCAGAGGAGATGAAGAGCTCGACAGCCTCATCAAAGCCACCATCGCTGGCGGAGGTGAGTCTTTGAGATACAGGAATATAATTCTGGGTCATTATGTAACAACTCAACAAAGTTGAGATACAGGAATATAATTCTGGGTCATTATGTAACAACTCAACAAAGTTGAGATACAGGAATATAATTCTGGGTCATTATGTAACAACTCAACAAAGTTTATATTTCAATGAAATTTCATATTTTACAGTCATCTATTTATATTTTGAATATAAAACATAACTCCAATTGTCCGACTCAACTCAAGTAAAAGAGGTTTGGTTTATCTAGTTGCAGTTTGCGGTAATCTGAGGAATAACTTAATTTAAATATTTTGGCCTATAAATGAATTCCATAATGCGTCTTGTCCAGTGTCAACGAGTAAATTATTTAAAATGTGTGTAATTATGAATTTCCTTTGAAACTTTTTGATTTAAATAAAAATCAAACATCCATGCACATGAGTGTTAGTTGTTGCTCATAAATATAGCCTATTGTCAAACTGTCAAGGATAAGTATCACTGTTTTAATTAATAATGCTGGTAAATATATTAATTGGATGTCTTCTGATTAATTATTTGCTCTTTACCCCAGTTAATCTTTATCCAGATTGTGACCAATCTAATGACAACATGTTTTGTTCTAGGTGTTATTCCACATATCCACAAGTCCCTGATTGGAAAGAAGGGTTCTCAGAAGCCTGCGTAAAGTTGTGCTAAGTGATCTCAAACAGTGTGGATAAAACTTTTGTGTTTGTGTGAAGGACAATGTCACACTATTTAAACCCCTCGATTGTTTGAGGGACTTGTTTTTTTTTCATTAATTTAATGTGTCATTTCATTAAACTTTTTCATGAACTTTTTTAGATCTCAAGTGTAAGGCACTTGGAGCATGAATTTTTATATGGTTTCTATGATAAAGAGTGAGTTCTTTGCGCTCTAATAGTGAAGAGTTCAACTACGTGGTTTCAAGTTAGAATTTTAATGCACATTTATACACACTACTTAATTCCTTATTTGTTCAATAGCAAATTTCCATGTTCATTGTGTAAATAAAATTCTTTCATATTTTTAGGTTCTTTTTTAACGTCTCTTTGTTTCTAATTGATTTTGTGCTTTTCGCTCCGTAAATTTTTAAGACTAAAGTGAAAAATTGTGAACTGCCTTTCAGTATATGTTAGTTTTAATTACTAGATTAAGAGATTTGTGGTTAAAACAATAGTTGTTGTAGTTTTAAAGAGAAACAAAGAATTTCATAACAATAAAACGTTTAACTAAATTTGCTGGTCCTTTCTTTCCTTGTAGCGTCAATTAGTAGTAATGCAAAGACTTGATTATCCCTTAGTTCCCTGGTTGAACCAAAAAACCTATTTTTCCAAAAATTTTAATTTATCGCGCAGTAAACCCTCACTGACTCAACAAATTGTGGACCCAGAGGTCGAGTTATTATTGAAATTTTTAATGGTTTTAAATGAACCAAATGAATGGTTTGTTTGTCTGCATAACAGACTAATTTTACGTGTACATTTATTACTTAGATGAGTATTTTTACATTTGGTAAGCAATCTTCAAAGAAGTATTGAGTCAGGTGTTGACTGTCTAGTTCGTGAGTTTTTTCTGTATCGGTATAATTAACCCTTCCAGGGCTGTGGACGGATATATCCGTCAATCTTTGTTTACTTTCCAGGCTGAAAACGGATATATCCGTCCCGGGAAATTTCTTTTCTGGGTTAAAGATGGATATATCCGTCCAAAAAACGAATTGATATGCAATGTTTATAATACGGTAATAAACATTACACTGCATTATAAATTGGTTATTTGGTTTTTGTGGTTGGCAATAATAATTGCTGCAGCTGTTTCGGCTATTTTGCAACATAGTGTGTGTAACCATAGAGGTTGTTAGTGAGTGATGTTTACATTTTGTGTTTGGTACTTTATTTTTATGTTTTTGAGCTAAAGTAACTAATAAATGCAAACGATCTGAAATTTGAAGAGGTTATTGGGATGCTTAACAAAAGTATGTCTGAGAGGGGTTTTTTACTTGGTAGTGAAAATAATAGTATGGAATATATGATGAACCTGAAGAACAGTCTTTACGTAGTGGAAGTCTTGGTGGGAATGGGAGCGGAACTGAGTGGCTTAGATTTACTTCTGAATGTTAGATACATTTTTATGGATAAAAAATAAAACAAGGGAAGGAATAGCCTAAGGTTGACGGATATATCCGTCTGCTGCCCACAAGAATACTCAAGATTATTGGCAGTGTTCATATTTTGTGAGTATCACTGAGGGTGGTAGACGGATATATCCGTCAAATCAGATTTTATTTTCTTCATAACTTTTTTACAAAAATTAGTTCAGTCCTAAGGAAAATCTTTTTATGATCCATGAATTATTTCAAGTGAAATAAATTCAAAACGCAACCACTTAAGTTTTTAATTATTGGCAAAAAAATAATTAAGCTCCAGCCCATCATTTAATTTAGCCCTGGAAGGGTAAAAAACAAGTCTTTTTAACTTAATTGATTCTTATTAAATTTTGTTTATAAAAATTGCTAGTCTTATGTTAAAGCACCTCCAGTTTTTTTTCAAGATTTAGTGTGGTGCGCTGGCAGAGCTAGCTGGTGTAAACAATACTTGCTCTTGTTTTAAGTAAAGCTGCACTGGAAGTTGACAAGACCAAAGACTGGCAGTATCTCATGTCTTTTTTATCGTTTATTTAGACCCTTGGCTTGCCAATCGCATGTTGGGTATAATTGTGAGACACATTGTCTGTAAAACAAAATTTTCTTTTTTTGCACAAATTGACTAGCCACCGAACAATACTTTCAATGCAGATCTGAGATCTTGCTAAGTGTCTCACATAACACTCGTATTCATTTGAGGTCACTTTCAACTAGATCATGAAGAAATGCTTTTGAGGTCAGCATTAACATGAGAAGTGGCAACATAACACAATTGGAGTCATAGGACAAAGGGTAAAATGACAATCATCAGCGGGAAAAAGTGGTGCTGCTGTTAATACTAGGAAATGTAGTGGTCAATAACAGTTCAGGCTGTATACTGCCTGTTAGGTTTTATTAAAAATATCCAACGTGATTTATTCCCATATTGTTCAATTACCTCCGCAGTAGCAAACCTGCAGACTAAGTAAATTTTCATTTCCCTGGTTGGATTTACACTCAAAAGTATCTTTATAAATAACACATGTATTCCATATTTAAATAGAATTAGTTTAACGAGTACTTAGGTTTGCTGCAACAGGGAGGGTAAGAAAGTTTTATTTTTGTAAAATGTTAGTTTAGTAAGAAATAAATGCATTTTCCAAATTTGATCAAAGTATGTTCATTAACAAGCAAACGTATTCAACAAGCAGTTGACTTATTCTCCATAAAAATAAAATGAGAATTTAAAATTTTTTGGAATTTTCTCCTTTGTTTTTCTCCTCCTTTTAACCATTAGGCGCATAGTAACACTTATATATGTACTAAATTATTTCTTTTTAAAGTTCTACATCATGGTTTGGAAAGAAATTGCCGAATTTTATGTTTTTTGTCAAAAAAGGGGAAAAACAATTTTTGCCCCATAAAACCCCCGTTCCCATGGTCCGATCATGCTGGTTCAATGTAGGTTTACACCTTTATACCAAAATCCAATAATTTTTTATCGAGTTATCGTGTTAACGGACTCAGTAAACTTGAATGGATGGTGATTTTGCTTCTAGGGACCTAAAAAACGCAAAAGTAAATCCGTCTCGAGTCCAGGTATATTAGTATGAGTATTACGTTAGTAGCTTATTCCCTATATGGGAAATTCGCTAAAAGCAATGTTTGAGAAAATTATCATTATTATGTCCAAAACCAAACCTCTGGAAAAGTCCCATAATATTGTCCAAACCTATATAGGCCTATTAGCATTGACTATTGGATACTAAAGTCATCAATGCTTTTACAGTAGAACCTCGATATAAATACTCTTATGGGGATTATTAACTAAGACTTGTTATCAAGGTTGACTTCTTATCGAGGTTTGCTAATACCAGTGGCAGACTAACCATAAGGCACACTAGGCACATGCCTAGGGGCGCCCGCCGCGCGGCGCCGCTGATGGCCGGGCGCTTGGCATGAAAGCAAGGCGTTAACCTAAGAACATACTTTCAATTTTCATAATTCCTTAACAGTTTGGTTTTTGTAGTAAAACTGTTAAACAATGAACAATACTTGATACAAAGAACATTAGGCCAAATGGTAATTGACTATCATTATTTTTGTCATTATATTGTATTTAAGTATTCTGTTACATTAAGAAGAAAAATACTAGTTTAAAAGAATTTTTCCTGTTTAAAAACCAACAAACTGTTTTTAGTGTTTAAAAAGTATTAGGAATTACTACAAGATCTTAAGAATAATAAGTCAGCAAACTTAACAAACCTTGTGAGCTGTCTTATATTCAATCTTCTTCGCCAATTACTAATTCTTGTTAAATACACACACTTTTTTACCAAGTCAAACTCATGGAATGACTTATTGTGAGCTAGCAAGTGTTACTTGAGCAACCAAAAATAAGGTAGAAATTGAATTTTAAACACTAGCACATTCTGTGTGGCCCGTATTACACTGTAAAACATTTTATAAAACATATTTTATAAAATATAGGTTTCATTGATCATAAAATATTTGAAGAATGGTTCTTTAATAAAAGACGTAGGTCTATGGTTTACACTACGTAAAATATACATGCAAATAAATTGTCATTGTTGATCAAATATATTGGTTTAGTTTGGTTATGTACTTAAGAGTATTAAAACGTCATTGAAACTGTTGGTCTAGCACTTGTAATCAAGATTATAATGGATAATGCAGCATTCTATGCTAGTTTAAGTACATTAAGTGCTATAATATTGACTGCTATATTGAAGAAAAGGCAATGTCGCCGACGCAAGCATGTCTGGGTTAAACCATGGATTGCAAGGCGTGGCGATAAAGGGATTCATCAAAACCTAATAAAAGAATTATTAAGTGAAGACAAGAAAAGCTATATCAACTACATGAGGATGGACAATAATACTTTTGCATATGTTTTATCAAAAGTGACACCCTTTATAAAAAGACAAGACACTCACTTAAGAAATTCTATTAGTGTCAAAGATCGTCTCATGATCACCCAGAGATTTTTAGCAACCGGAGAGAGTTACAAAAGTCTGCAATACAGCACCCGCATACCTCAGTGCACAATATCAAAGATAATACCTGAAACGTGTGCTATATACAAGTCGTTAAAGGACGACGTTTTAAAGGTAGGTAAACAGCAATTTATTTCTTGACAAAATTTTATTTTAATATTATAAAGACATAACACACATACAAAAACATAATATTATAAAGCAATATTGTCTACATCTCTGTTTCATCGGCACTAACCATATTGTCATTTAAATTAGACAATTGTATAGCATTCGCTATTACATCATTAGACAAACCACTTGCATTCTGTACAATTATAGTTGGACTGGTTGCAAATGAGTGTATGGATGAATCAGTACTTGATAGTATAGATCCGGACTCTACAGTATCCCAAGTATCCATCAGTATCTGCTGGATTTTTATTTTAGCCTGGCGTACCAAATATGCATTGTAGGACTCAGTGTTGATGGACCGCAGTTCAGCAGCAACAAATTTCCCAAATGTATCGAATGAGTCTTCATTAACGAAACTTGAGATCTCTCTTTAGCCAGCTAAAACATCTGTCATTGTTGTAGTAGCCTGCAGTAATAAGTTATCAGGATTGACAACCTTTTGCCTCTTGCTCTTTGATTGGCCAGTTATTGTGCTACAACTCTGGAAAGCGCTACTCGAAGGCCTATTTAGTGAGGTATGTTCAACATTATCTTCTGGCTGAACCTGTAACAAATATCAAGACCTGAAATTACATTGTATAACCAAAATATTCATTATAAATATTATATCAAATCAAGTTCTCAAAACATGGGTACCTTAACAATGTTCTAAAAACAACATTGGACTGTTGTGACATTGTAGCAGTAGATATGATGTAACCTACTTACTTAAAGTAGGCCTATAAGAGGTCACTGTGAACGTCAACAGAGAAACAGAAATCTGCTTTATTATTATTATTTATATTTTGTTCTATATCAAATATTGTACTGGATAAAATATCCCCTTTCTAGTATGTTTTTGTTTTCTTGTTCAAGTGCCTTCGACTGAAGACTAATGGATCCAAATTGCAAGCGAATTTGAAAACCAATGGAATGTGTTTAACACCATAGGCGCCATGGATGGAAAACATATACGTATAAAATGTCCTGAATCTGGAGGCTGACATTTCGTTAACTATAAGTCATACAACAGCATTGTATTTTTTGCTCTTGTGGATGCAAATTATAAATTCCTCTACATAGATATTGGAACAAATGGTCGAATTGGTGATGCTGGGGTGTATGCAAAAAGTAAACTGAAAACATGTCTTACTGACAGAACAATACTGAATATACCTGCCGAAAGAAAACTTCCCAATGTTCCAAACACTACACCATTCGTCGTATTAGCAGATGATGCTTTTCCACTGAGCTACAATGTCATGAAGCCATATCCCATGAAAAACATTACGACTGAAGAAAGAATATTTAACTATCGATTGTCACGTGGACCGAGAATTGTTGAAAGTGCTTTCGGGATTCTTGCAAGCAGATTTTGTGTATTCTTAACAGCAATTAATCTTGGGTTACCCTCATAACCCAAGCTGCTTGCACCTTGCACAACTTGTTGGTTGATAAGAGAAGGCATTTGTATACAAGACAAGAAACTCATGTCCTCACTGAAGATGGTTATCAGTTTTTAGTAGCGGACAGCACTGAGGAACATGAACAAATGGAACCTATAAGTAAGCAAATTACAATTGATCAAAATCGAAGGAGATAAGAGACATTTTAAAAACTTTTACAATGGACCAGGAAAAGTGCAGTGGCAAGACAAGTATCATGAATGGATTATGCGTAATTGTAACTTTTGTGATTGTGTACAGTAATAGTTGTGAATTATGCAGACTACAAATTCCTGGGTTAATGATATTTTGAATCGTAGCCAATTATCTTAAAAAGGAATATTCAGGAGAAAAAATATGTTTACTTTGTTATTAAAGATCTTAACTTACTTGATCATTCTGTATAACTGATGGTTCATCTTCATGGTCAAGATTGCTTTCAGATGTATCAGCATCAGTTGAGTCCTCCAGAAACTTTAGCATGGGATACCAATAGACTGTTGGTGTATAAACATCATCGCTGTTGGCACCACTTTTAATACTGTTTATTACCTGTAAATAACATAAGTTTGTAAACATTATTTTCTAATTTACGTTCATACTGTACATTAAAACAGAAAGTTTAAATCAATGAAATGCTAACCATTCCTTCGGTACAATATTGAGGTTATGTTGTATATATTCTATGGTTTAGGCTAGTATGTTATTTGCACAATGATGTAACATTTGATATTATTACTATTTTCAAAATAAAACCACTTTTAAAAACATTAGGTTTTACTTACCTTTAATTTTTCCATTAAATATTGGCTTCTAAGTCCATTTATTTTCTTTTTCACATCTGCAAGTCTATTGCAGGGGTCTCCAAACTACGGCCTGTGTTGAAACTTAACCCTTTGAGTGCCAACGTCCGGGGAACCGGACGTTTTTAAAACGAGCCAAAAGTGCCAACGTCCGGCTGACCGGACGTTTTGTAATGATCGAACAGTTGTCATAACAACCGAATGGATACTCGGATTCTTTTAACCCATATATTAACATCGAGTCGAAAGTTACTAGATGCAATACATCGATTTTTGTTGGTCGAAATATCGAAAATTCGATTTTTACGAAATTTTAACCTAAAAATCGCCAGATCGCGCTCGGCATTTTTAGCGCGACCTTCGGGAAAAATCATCGGCATTTTTTGAGCGTTACTTTTATTTCTCGCCTGGCACTCTAAGGGTTAAAAACACTCTAAGTAGACAGTTTTATTTATAATTTTGTTTGGAAAATTATGGGCTTCAATGTAATATAAGTTATAAAAAATTACAAAAAAAAAAACTTAACAATTTTTATGGTTAATATTTCTTAGAAATGATAAAATAAATGGAAAAGATTTAGGTTTGCGCTCAATACAATTTTTTAATTTATAGGTCTATATTTTTTTAAATAGCCACTTTGTTCTAAATTTTAAGAGGATTCCAAAAATATAATCATATAAGGAAGTAAATTTGCAAATAAATAAGATAAGCGTGAAAAACTGATTTTAATATACTACCTACTTCTTCAGGATCATCAACCAGCCCTTCAACATCACTTAAATCTTCTTATAATGCACCAATCACTACTTTTAATTTTTACCACTAAAAAAACTATAAACATAAAAAACATCAGTCATTGATGTGAGGTTAACCAAGATGTTTACAAATATGCACGTCATCTGTCTGCTACAATATGAACTAAAATGAACAGTTTCTAGAATCAGGCATCAGGAGAAAGCTTAGAATCTGCCAAAAACAACGATACCAATCTCGATCCAGTACAATCCGATTCAGTCAGTCCCAGAGGCTTTGCCGGAAATAATGATTGTGACCGGGTGTGTTGTGCGTCGCTTTTGCAACGCTTAACACTCGGAAGGATAAATAAGTAACACATTTGTAATGTAAATTGGCAGTTAAATTTATTTCTTTACAAAAATTGATTACAAATTCACATTTTATTTACAAAAGACATCACCATACAAATACAATAGCAAAATATTAATTTTACATAATTAATGTACCTAAGTTTTATATCTAACAAAGTCAGATCAAAGTTACACTAGGGGATATGTTTTTTAAACTAAGTTGGGACTTGAAGTCAAAACCTGTAACAGAAAAAAATCATTTTATAGTGATGGGCGATACGGGTCAATGTATCGATACTGCGTATCAATACGTATCGGAACGTGGTGTATCGATACGTGTATCGTATCGTATCCATTGATTTTTATCTGTATCGGATAAAATATCGTATCGTATTGTTTATTTATAATAAAAAAACACAGGGATAATTAATTGAACCAAAAAGTACTAATAACGATGGTGGGTATGCCACTTACACATTAAATAGTATAATATGGACAATGAGGGTCCCCACTCTGTGTTCGCTGGTCCCCACTTCCATTAATGGTGGCCCTAGTTTTGAGGTTATTTGCAAAACATAGCTGAAAATACACGTTTTATCAGTGTTTTTGAAGATGCTAGGGTAAAATATAAAATTTCCACTACTACTTTTGAGGGGAGGAAGATGGGAAGACAAATTTCTTACCATAAAAATAAGATTTATATTAATAAATAAACAATACGATATTCAATACGATATTGGCTATAGGTGTATCGATACGGCCATATTGATACACTCCCACGTATCGATACAAAATATCAATATTTTGCGGTCCTTGTATCGATATCTGTATCGATACGCACATCACTATTTAAGAATAAGATTATATAGGTTGGAAAAATCGTCCCGGGACAGATAAATATTTTACAAATTAATAAAAAGAAAGCATCAAAACTTGGAACTAAGCTACGGGTCATCAAAATCTATTTTACAAATTACTCAGCAAATATCCTACCTCCTCAGGGGGACGGCCTGCTAGGAGTCGGAAGAAAATCTTAAGTGTTAAGCATGAGTTAATATGCACAACAAATTAAAGGTCTTAATTAGTGAAATACAATGCGTACCTGTACGCATACGCATGGTTTCATATGGGCAAACAAGGCAAAAATAGTAGCCCTTCAAAGATTAATTGAATTTGCTTAAATGGCTGTCATTTTTAACTCAGTTGTTCTTTTGAGCTCAAATTTCATAGGAGGTAGTATATCGTTGCATTGCAAATTACCGAATTTGACTTAATTTATTTACTTTTGTCATACATTTTTTTGCAACAGCATGATCGCTCTGATAGTGTTTATTTTAACTATCCATTCTCATGGAACCACATCAAGTTCAACTGTTTAGGAACAGAGAATATTAAGCATAAGAAAGCATCAACTGTTCTTACAATCCACGTGAAGGCGCTAAAGTACATTTTACTTATTTTTGTACTTTTTACATACTAATATTCTGACCTATAAGTTTTTCATCTCAAGATTCAATACGAGACTTACTTAAGAAGTATTGCGCACGTCGAGTGAAGGCCTGAGAGACAGACAACTCTCTACCCAGAGGTTGGGGCGTTCCAACATTCGCTGCCAGAGAGTCGTCTCCTTGCCACTGGCGTCCATCCAATCCACGGGCTTACCACTGTGCTTGCCTGCGACAAAATAGTTATGGGTCAATATTCTCTCTTCACATTGAGAAAATTATTATGATTTTTTTCAATACCAGGAAAACAAAAACTCTATGGGAGCTGGAACTCTCCTGGAAAACTTTTGAAATTAAGGTTGCTGTTTTTAGGTTAAAAAGCTGACGTTGAAATGTGTGTTTTATGTGTTTCTTGTTTAAATAACTAATCAAAGAAATTTTTTTAAAGTTTTGGGAAATATAGCACCATTATAAATTTAGCGGTCTGGGCTAGCCCAGTCAGCTCATATACAAAGATGGGCCTGACCACCTAAGGGCTTGAACATATATTTTTTCTAAATCAAACCCTACTTAAAAATAAAATCAGTTTACAATGTTTTGTGGAAAATACCTTAATTTAATTTAATTCATCATGAAATATTTCCCACTGAGATAAGCCTGCTATAAAAAAAAATATATTTCCAAGACCCTTGTACTAAATGTTACACCGTTAACTTCTTTCCACTCATTTACAACCATTTCCAAAGTATTCGGGAGGAATTCAAAGCTCACCAGTTCCCAGGTTGAGTCGGACTCCACCCAAGAATTCGTTGCTGGCAAGACGATCGTGGTCCCAGATGGTGAGCTCGAGGCTACGCGAGCTCAAGTCGTCCAGCGTCAGGCCTTGGTATGTGAAGGTGTGGTTCCATGCTGGAGAACAGCATTTGCGTACCACTGGTGTCTTCTGCTTAGAACTACGGCCCTTGTCCGGCAACAAGTAGCTGCAACAACACAAATCAGGTATTTCATATCTATACAGTCAATACATTTTCAAGCTGACAAAATGGTGACTTTGGTTTATGGTTCGCTTGGCTGGTGGACAAAAGTAAATCACTTAACTGTCGTAGACAAATTGCAATAAGTACACTTATAGTGACTGGTGCCTTTAGGAGCAGTCTATCAGCAACTCTAGAAGTCGCTCTCGGGCTTTCCTAGCAGAAACCATCATCTAGCCGTCAGCTTTTTCTAACCATCATAATAAAAGCTGAAGCCCACAAGGCAGCTTATCGCCTGAAGGTTGCTAATCTCTGTAGGGAAGATGTAGGGTAGGCCACTGCGTCATTGCTAAAGCTGTGGCTGTGTGTCCTGTACTTGAAATGACCTCAGACGTCCTGAACACAGAAGTAGTTTTCCACCAAACCCTTTACTGTTAAATTCAGCTGGATGAATGGAAACATAAGGAAGGGTATCACAAAAAAACAGAGAGCTTCGTCTGGTACCAGTAGCGGACCAAGGCCAAGTTCAATAGCGGGCTTCTCGTAATACCTGAAATACGGCTGTGCGGGGCCCCAGGCACCGCCATGTTCGGCTACACGGGGCCGCCTCTGATTGGTACACCTCATTGATGAAAAATCAGGCTTCGGAGTATACAGTTGATCGCCTAGAACAGACCTTTTTGATAGTCTGGAACGACACTGTACTATCTTCCAGACAGAAATCAGTGGCATCTAATATTAACCAAGCAATCTGTCTCGTTCAGTCATACCGCGATTGACATTGGTCGCAGTTTTAACTAGCTTGCTTTTCTGTGACCGAGCTTATACCTTAATTTACGGATAACCCTCATGGAAAGGAATTCTTTCAACACCGTACCTCTTGCAGAAGGGGTCAGAAGTCCCGTTGCTCTTGACTGCTGCTAGGTTCTTTGCTTCCTTGACCAACACCTGCAGACAGCCTTTGCCCTTCTTGCCTCCTCCGCTGTTCTCTGGCGGAACAAACTTGAGGCCTACGATGAGCTCACCCCGGGAACTCAACAGCTCTTCTAGTGGTTCTGTCTGCAACACAGGCACATTGCGTGTTAGAGAAATCATTTTCTTGGATAAATAAAGAAAAGGGTGGTTTCAAAAAAAGAAAGAAATCAATTGTAAACGCAGGTCAGAGTGAGGCGGAACCAGTCGAACCCACTAAATGTCTTATCCCTTGAGACTCAGTACTTGGAGCTGTTCAGGCAGATGGTGGTTTGTCAGTGAGTCATACTCCTATTTCTGTGTAATATTTTTTAATTAAATGAAATATACAAATTAGCGGGTATAAATTAATGTATTTTAATCTCCTGTTAATGTTGATACCAAATTTGAGGTCAATCAGTGGAATATTTCTTGTTACTAGTTAATAAAAAGATACTAATGCCATACATGTAGACTTCTCATCCCATTGTAAATTTTGAAGCTTGTGTGTCCAGTTTATGCCCAGTGTCACTGATCGCTAGTGTTGAAAAAATTTTGTTTCTATTATTTTAGGGTTATTTTTATGATTTGTGCTTTACTGTTTGGTTATATAACTAGGGGACGAGTTGTTTATGATTAAATAATTTTATTTCGTTAAACAAGGTTTTAAATGACTGATATATCAAGAGAAAAATTTTAAACAAAACACAACTTCTAGCCTACTAACTACAGTGAAGGTACAGAACTGGACATAACTAACAATAAAATTGGCTTCAGCTATACCATAAGAATGAGAAATCTAAGGGAGTCAGGGCCGGATTTAGCATTTTGGCGCCCCTAGGCCCAAATAATTTTCTGCCTCCTAGTCTGGTCACAGTTATTTTCCTTCAAACCTTTATTAAAAACTATATCATGCTCATAGGCCGAAGTTAATTTCTTGAATACCACTTCTCTCTGGAATCATTGCAAGCTTTTTTTTAAGAATTGACTTGTTTACCCTTAACAAAATTCCATCTTAAACACTTTTAGCAATTTTATGCTTTTTAATGAATGCTCACGTTTGTGGCCGTGGTACTGAAACAAACCAACCCAACCCACCGAGCATTCCTGAAAAAAAAAACATGGCCATTGATTCCAATTTCAGGCCCAAAAACATGAACTCCATACAGTATGTGATATAGATTAAACATACTCCTTTAGTAGATTTGTAATCATTTTGGATTAGCTGAAAACAATTCTTGTTATTTAAGGAGTATGTTTTATCTATGCTTAAACCTAGTTCATCCAAAATAAAACAATCTAATCATCAACAATAGGTCTCCTGTCCTGTTTATATTACAAGAAATTAAAACACACATCATAGAACTAACCCTAAAATGATAGAAACAAAAGTAAGTCAAAACTAACGTCCAGTGTCACCAACATGAACTAGACATGAACAAATTTTGAATTAACAATGTCATAAGAAGTCGACTTGAGTTATATTTAATCTATGGTCGTACTGCATCTAGGTTATATTTCCAAAGCAAAACAGTGCAATTTTCCGGCCAACCGTACCGATCCTTAGGTCTGAGGAGAAAATACAGCATTAATGGTGCTTTGGAGGGTATTGAATTTTTCTAAAATCTAATGCAAATTGAGATTAATATTTTTTTGTTAAAGGTAAATTCATCATTGTTTTAATATTCAACACAACTTATTATATATTTTAACTTGATCCTGCAGATTGTTGTAAACTAATCAAAGGATAAGTTAATAACTTTTGTTTTGTAAGGTGAGGGTGGTAACAATGTCTAGCACGCATGCGTCCGAGCCAGCATAATGGCAGTGCAGTGGCAATACAATGCGTACCCCTTGGGCGCTCGTCAACGTCAACATCCCTACAGCCTACTCGCATGTAACCAACGTTTTTTACCAATTTTGTAACGAAATAGATTCGTAATTCTGAAAAATAGTTTAAATTTCCTAACAATTATTTATTTTTATGAACTTCAGAATCACAATGCTTTGGTGTTTTTTATCAACTATGACTATTTATTTTTATTTTTAGATAGCCTAGGTATAAAAAAAATTAACTCTCGGCCGTGCGCCCTCTGGGACCTTGCGCCCATAGGCCTGGGCCTACCGGGCCTATTGGGAAATCCAGCCCTGAAGGGAGTAGGTTTTATCCATGCTAATACCTAATTTCATTACTCCATAAGGATTCATAGATTCGGCTAAAATTTGTTTTGAAAATTATCAGGGTATTAAAAAATACATTTATTTACACCACGAGTGTCCACCCTCACATTGTCAATGTTTGGAGGGAAGTCATATTTCAGTGCAGAAAGTTTACCCCCACCCAATAAGTCCACAAAGTTGTTAACTAATTAAGGGCTTATTGGGGTTTTTTGAGATTGTTACTAAATACTTAACCAATTTCAACCATGACTCTCCTCTGCTATTGATTCCTGTATCACTACAAGTCCAGATGTCACTACTTACTCGTTCCTGCAGGGTGTAGAACTTGGGCAGAGGGTCGTCAAAAACTTTGTTCTCGAGTGCCATGGTGACTTCACCCAAGAAGTCGTTGCGGCCGAACATGTCTGAATGCCACACACTCAGCCACAGCGTTCGACTTTCTAGTCCTTCCAGAGTGATGTGGAACTGTCAACAGAGAGGGGATTGTGTGAATTATTTTGTATAGAAATATTGTTTAGGCGCAAACGCTGATGGATTCTATATCATAAATCACCTTGATTATAGAGTGTGGCAGATTGCGTGAAAATATAAAAATGTATTTAATTCTTACTGTCTATGCATTTAGAGGTGATACTGCACTACAGCCGTTTCGGAGATAACTCTATATTCAGGTGCGTAGTGGTACACTAAACTTAAGTCTTGTTCTTACACTTAACACAAAATGTCTTCATTTGCAAACTCATTCATCAGCATCATTTCATTTGCATCAGAGGTTAAATAAATATTTAGGTTTAAAAAAATATTAGAAGAATAATTATTCAACCTCTAGCGCAATGGAAATGAAGACATTACCACAACTATTTACGTGAGCATAACTTGACAAAAACTGCTGAATACAGACTACAACAATGAAGACAAAGCTTAAGACTACTGTACTATGGCGTAGATAGTAGATCAAGGGTCAGAATATCATTTCGTTCAGATCTACTGTGGCAGTTGTAGGCTGCGATCTTGTGAGAGTGGGGGTGATTAGAGCTGCTATGGATGGTTGTGTCTGTACTGGTTGGTTTTCAACTCAATGCTCTATAGATTGATTTGAGAAAATAATACAAATCAAACAGGACAAGGTATAATTTGAGCAGCTATGTTGGTACACATGTTATCAGTTGTTCTAGTCGTCCACCCAACCTTTGTAGTGATAAGGTTTGATCAGTCCGTCGTCAGTTTTTAGCCGTTTTTAGCCTTAATGTTTTCATGTCTTGTCCGTGTCTTGTGTTGCATGTATTGTTTACTAAACTTAAACTTTGACGCCATGAAAATGAAGAAACCACGTAAAAAATATTAATATGTAAATAGTTCAGTTTAGTGTATGATGACTATGCACCCGACGATGGAGTTATCTCCGAAATGGCCGTAATGCTAAATCAACAGGATTGCGAAGACTGTAAGTAGCCTTTATATATTTATTAAACGCAATCTGCCACAATGAAAAACCTGTAATTTATTACAAGTCGGCTAGTTGAAAAAGAAGTGTCTGATTAACTTTAACAGATTTAAATTAACACATTCACAATGGTAGCCCCAGTGCGGTGCAGCCTGCAGCGTCGAACAAACCCGAATGCCGCATGTGGCGTCCCCATCTCAATTATTGATAATTTATTGGCTTTCAAATTTCGGTCTGACGAATAGCAAATAACGTTCGGTGATATCCTGTTTTACGACGAGAGTCAATGTAGTTCACTAAAACAAGTTGATTTTTAAGCTTGCCAGACGGGGATTTTACGGGAAAATTTACTACCAACCTACACTACAACAAAAAGCAACTCACACACTACGCGCTAACGTGGTATAGGTCCGCCTTTGACCGACGCTAGAGCAAAAACGAAGATATACGAAAGGGATTGCCGAGCGTTCCCGATTGAGTACGGGTGCCGAGCACCGGACCGATTGGGAACGGCCGCATACAACGTGTTAACAGCAAAATCAACTACAGCTATTACCTTCAATGTCTCTTCAAAGACTGGATTCAGTGTGTGCTTCTTGACTCGCGTCTTACGTTTTCCAGATTTGGATTTATCAGGAAGCAGGTACACTTTGACATATCTGAAAACAAACATTTTTTTTCAATCCCAAGAATGAACAGTTTGATAACTGAAATACCAAATACATATATTATTGTTTATCTTTGTTATATTATGGTTAACACGTAGACTTTTATAAATTCAGAGGTTTCTTATGCTGAATTGTGGTTCAATCCTTTGCAGTAGTTAGAATGGAAAATGTATTACCTATATGACCGTGGAGAACTCTTCTTTATTTTGTGGCTACTTAAATAAGTGGATTTTGATATTAGAACCAAAAAAAGGTAGTCTGAACATCCTACAAGATAAATTCATCAAATTAAATTAATTAGTTCAGATAAAGGAGTTCAAATACAATTGAATTAATCAAGAAACTTGTTTTAAGGAAGTTTGTTAACTTACGGGTCGGATCGGTTGCGCTTTGTGTCCACAGCGGCCAGGTCTCGACACTGTTTTACATAGATCTCGAGGGCGCCCTGCTTGTAGTTGTACTGTAGACCGAACTCCACCTCCCCTCTCACAGCTACCGAGCCGTACCTTCCCTCCCCAGCACCAGAATATACACTGGCCAACGAGTCACTGCGAGCCTGCAAACAATTCAAGACCATTTTTATTTCATACTTATACGCCAGGTGGTATGATGCCATTATGGCATCAAAAACTATATAACTTAATCTGAAAAAAGATTCCTTTTAAAAAATAAAACGTTATTTGACATCTATATATATAATACGCTAAGCCGATTTTTGTGAACAGAACTCCTCCCTCATTTTTGGACCGATTTTGATTATTAAAATGTCAAAAGAATTGCCCTGATCTGTAGTTTTGCAAAGTGTTTTTCGTTTTTTGATATCTTTATTAGTTTGGGCAGGATCTTCCATCAAAGTTGGATTTTCTCCCATAAGATTAACATGGGGGAATCTAAAAATTTAATTGGAAACTTTGTCTCCACTAATTTGAGAGAACGGCTGGGCGTAGAAACTTGGTAGGGGTGTCAAAAGAAAGGTCTTGGTCTGTAGATGGGTTATCAAAAGAAAAACGAAGTAAATTCCCTTAGGGCTCTGCCCCAGAAGCCTTTAAAAGTCCCTCTACAGATTTGTTTACATTTTGGCCATGTGAATAATACTTTTTAATGAAACAGCTGTTAATTTGTAAATTGTATTTTAAACAAGACACATTAATTGGGAGTTACTGAATTGTCCAAAAGAAGCATTTGCAATGTTATTTTCTGATTTTAAAATTAATTTTTTTCTGTATCATGTTATGTTTAGCAATATATACCATGACGAAATCAGTGGAAAATCCTTTTATCACAGTAACTCTTAAAATTATTTCTTATTTACCTTATATCTGTTTTACGGGTTGGTGACTGCCCTTTTCACCATTTTTGTCTTTATTTTTATCATATTGTTCTAGACAGATCATCATAGGTTCATGAGATTATTGTCAAACATGTTTTCAATTATTGGAAAAATATTAAATTGTGTAATACAATACAAAATAATAGCCTACAAATGCAGAAGGGCACGGTACCTATTTGAGCCGTGTCCATATTTTGTTAAATTAATAGTAGTTTACAGAAACTGGATAAAACATTTTACAATATTTATGTAGAAATATTTGCATGATAAATAAAGACATTAAGCTGGAAAACTGCAATATACTGCAGACTTTTCAGAGAGGTTACTTCGATGTATTCATTCAGCTTAGTGAAAACATAATATAGATATGTACCTATACAAATAAGAACTTGAATTCTTAGAGAGCCTTTGAACGTTATTAGACTAACGAAAAGGGTTGTGCATGTTTACTAGCGCTACTCTGCAACAAAAACCATTTAATTTATCTCCAAAATATATATTCTTAAAGTGCACTGATCAGCAGCAAAAAAATCTATGTAACTTACCCATATTTTATTGAAAATAACACAACATTTTGGCTGTAAATATGGCCCAATGAGTAAATAATATTTAAGCAGCTACTGTCATGACAGAAAGGTCATATTCCTTTTAAACTAGATCACATCATCCTTTATAAGATACAGATCAATATTTATGTAACAGCAAATTTACAGTATTTTTGCTTTTTGGAAATGTCCCATTGCTATGTCATTTGCATTATTTGTTGTCAATGAAGCCGCATATAAATGAGGAGGCCCCTAACAGTTTAAGAATAAAAGCCAACTTCACTTCAAGTATATTCCACTACACCTCACATTCCGTAGAGAGATTATATTGACAAATTTATGTAATTGATATGGCTGAGACAACTAACTGACATCCCCCAAAGGAATTCCAGCTTTAACAGTAGCCCCACAACAAATTTCTCAAAACTGTGATAGAGGGTTATTCATTAGCACAGAAGTACGATATGAACTGAAGCGACGTGACGAAGGAAAAATCAAACTTACACTGTAATGGATACCTCCCTTTGAAGTTAGAACGTGTCTTCCCAACAAACAGATATTTTTTTCAAATAAAATCATAGATTAATCTGCATTACACTGATGAAATCACGGAAGTGTTTAACTACAAAAGATCCACCAATACGATTTTAATACTATTTAAAGTTTAATCCAAACGATGAGATACCAGATAATATACTAATAACTCCGATGACGTACAGTATGGGAAATATTTTATTCATTGAATGATCAACCATATTTGGTAACTATCATTATTGTTTTTACACTTATTAATCTTTAAACAATGCTAAATGCTCAAAATATGTACAATTTCACTCAATTTACCGCAGTTAGATGAATTAGCGTAATGCTTGAAAATAACCGTCGATTTCGACGGGTTTCACCTAGTAATGTATATTCTTCTAGAGTATACATATAACAGGTCGTGACAACAAGTGGCACTTCAACTGTTATCTAAATAAAAAAAAAAAAAAAACATATTTGTATTCCTCATTGTTAGAAGGCAGTTTATTGTCAAATTTACCTCCGACATAAGTAGTTTTTTCATATAAGCGTAGTCCATGGGCATACTCAGTGATAATTCCATGGTTTCTAGTCTTGTAAGAGTTGCATTCTCCTATTAAACATATATCTGTGAAATTTTGCCTGCAGTACATTATTATAGTACTTCATAAAGCGTCTACTTTTTTTTCTTTGTCCTAGGATGCTAGGCCCAGGATTGTTTTTCACATTACTTCAGGATAGACCTAGGGGTTACGGCATTATCATTTAGATAAAATCCATTGGTGACTTGGCGGGATTTGAACCCGGGACCTCAGGGACTGAAGTCCCGTGCTCTAACCACTACACCAGCTCGCTCCTCGCTTTCATAAAGCGTCTACTACCACAAAGAAACATCAATACAACAACAACACAAAAAAAATTATGTTCCTAGTAGGATCTACTTTTAACTTAATTCCCTGACACAAAATCAGTAGGAAAATAGTTAAGATTCATAAGTTGCAGAAAAAAAACCGTCTATCAACATAATATCGTTAGGATTCATTTTGCCTTGAAAAGGAACCATTCATTTACCTTTAATTTATGGAATCCATCACTGAATTCCGAGGATCCATGTGAAATCATATCATGGTGCAGTGCTGTGCGGAAAAGGGGGGACCCAGTCTGGAAAATTAGGCTTATTAGGGTCAGTTCATGCAAATACCATGCTTGGGAAAAAACTACAGTAGCTACTATAAGTTTAATAAGAGTGCTTAGGATTACTGCTACAATACAACGTGAAAGCTGTGGAGTTATAGATTAATTTTGTTGGCCAAATATAATGTTAACACTAATACCGAAACCCCACCTAGGCTGACGTTAACCGAAACCCCCGGTCTGTGAGACCCCATTTGAAAAATAAAATAATGGACCCCGCTTAGAAACACACAAACCGACACCCTCGGTCTGTGAGACCCCGCTTTAAAATACACTAACGCTGGGCTTCTGAGACGGACATGTTATGAACAGACGACCTGTCAAGGTCACGGCACCCATGCAAAATGAACAAATGATATATCAATAGGTAGGGGAGGAAAAGGGGGGAAGGTATTGGGGGAATGGAATCTACCAAGTAAACAGTGTTGCCAACGTGCGTTTTTGAAAATTCCCGTGGGCCTGTCAGACCGGGGTTTCGGTATTAGTGTTAAACGCTACGGCCACATTAGGCCTTAATGTTTTTTATTCGCGACCTGGTCGCAGGAGGTGGACAAACTTGAGCGACTTCTATTGGGGAAGGATAAGAGTGAGAATTACCTATTGCTACAAGAACAAAAAATGTATATATAGGCTATAAATAAATCAATGTACAGTTAAGTTAATGTCCCACCAATGTCTTAGTTAGGGAATCACCTGATTTAAAGGTTTCATGTGATTTAAGTTTGTTTACCTTGTAAATTTCATGAGACATGAGATTTAACGGTTGGATTAGCATTAACAGTCACTTTATCTTGCTTTACAAGTTATAGTCTACGGAAAGTAAATAAAAGAAACGTCTTATAACTCTTAAAACATATATTTACGCTTATACTGTTACTCACAAGACGGTAAATATAAAAGATGGTAAGTGGTGATCGATTTCGATTGGACACTCTAATCATCATCAGGCCCAATAGGCGAAGTTCTGATGATGATTGGAGTGTCCAATCGAAATTGTCTCCTGACTCTCTGCCTACCTGGGACTGGTCTGGGCATTAATCATTGGCGAATTCCCAGACAGACTGAGAGTCAGGACACAGGTTCCTTCATACAGACTATAGTGATAGGAATTACTGTTGTTATATATGTTGAAGTTAGAGGGTTTGATAGTTGATAGTTAAAGTTTTGAAGCAAAAAAATTGAAATATATTTGTTATTTGTGGTTCAAATAATGGTAACATTTGTGTCAGAAATACAATTTAATTGTTATCGTATATAAAACACACTAGAGTGCATCCAAGATGCTGTAGATCGGAAGAAATTGAGGCATTCAGTTGGCGAGGCCAAATACCACCTTGGGTATCGATGACCATGGGAGTAAGTAAGTAAGAGCGCATCCAAGCCATATCAGTGAGTAGTGTGGTTAAAATTTGTTTAACTTTTTAAAGGTAGGATTTCGCATAACACAGGATAACACAACAAAAAAGTTAATGTTCAGTTAATGTATTATACTGAAACTACTGAATACAAAACATTGTAAATGTAAAAAACCTTAACAAAGTGACAATTTCTAACAAGGTGCTTTGTGCTACGTACACACAGACACACTGCAAAATCCCATTACTATTTAGGACTTGTTAAGACTTACGCCCAAGGATATCCTAGAGCTTGGTAGTCTCTCATCCTCCTCTGGCATCGGAACACTCACTGACTCGGAACAAACGCTCGCATCATCCGAGACTGAAACAGAAAAGATACACTTGTTAAATACATTTCAAACATTTGAGAGATAATAATAAAACACTCCATCGAGCTGAAAATAACTCTTTTCAAGACAAGTTTACGCTAGGACAGAAAATATGCAAGGATCGAAAAGGTAATTTTCTCAAATGATGAACTAGGGCCCTACAAGTTATATTTTCTATCGCATTTAAGCATTTCAATTAACAAGTGCAAACAAAAAAATTTTCATTGTTTACCTTTTATTTCTATTTATTTATTTCTATAATAGCTCTGAAAATTACTTTCATATTTTACTACTATCGTAGTAGGCCTACACATCTGTTACAATTGTGTTATTACAGTAGACTGAAGATTGCTACAATAGAATCCTTCTAATCCAGACTCGGAACCGACACTATACCGGATAACGGTTTTTCCAAATTAAACAGACGTTCCCTAAATCTCCCTAGGCAACTTTCTCCAAACAGGGAAAGTAAAATTAGAAACATGTGGATTTGACGTAATGAGTTAAAACGTCTCACACTCTAGAAATACTGCAGCCTTGAAATAGGATTACCTCAACTTTATCCGGTTAGTTAGAATGTCTATAGTGTTAAACTTGGTTTTATCGTATTCGTATTATAACTTTATTGGAGGAACTTTTGGGTAAAGCATTGTTTAAAGATGAATAATAAGTAATCATATAAAATTTGTAGTTTCTGGGTAAGTGTAGTGCAGTTTGTTTATTAACTATACAATAAAATAACACTGAATGGAATTGAGTTACAGTGTTGTGAAAAAAATAAAATACAAGCTGTTTAATCCCGATTCTTATACTTTTAATACTTGACTTTGAAATGGAGACCATACGAAAGACCTTTCTAGATTAATTTACTTATAGAGTTTGATGTCCCCAGAGGCCAAAATCTCAACTGTATTTGTAAAAATGTAACATAATACATGTGTCCGTGAACGTGATATCTTAAATAAATTTGGTCCGATTTTGGTGAAATCTGGCTTGAACTTATGGGGCTGTACACACTTAGATGAGTTAGCGAACCAGCAAGATTCATGTGAACAGGGTGTTGTGAGGTTTCAAAAATTGTCAAAAAATGATTTTTTTTCAAATGTTTACCCTCAAAACATAAAAACAACTTATTTTCATTACAACTACGTATGGAGCCCCAAAAAACAAATAATTTTGCATATTGGAGCGTTAAAATTCAAGGCTGCGGAGAAAATTCTAAAAATTTCACATTTTAAATCCTTATGATCAAATTTAGCCAATTTATATTTTCAATACCAATAGAAAATACGTTTATAGTATTACTTAGAGACCTACGAGCTAACTAAAATGTCACTAAAAAACATGGATATTTCCAGGTTTCAATGTTGAAGAAACCAGAAACGGTATTGAAGCAGAAAAATAAATGTACAGAAAAAAATAAATTATATGATGTAATAATTATTTATTTGGAAGGGATATTAGAGCTGCGCATGGTACAATGGTTGGTAATTGTCACGTGACTGCGGCGCGGCGGCGGCGGCGCTAATGGCTGAACAGCTGATCACAAGGCCAACAGGTGTATGACGTCATTGTGATATAGCATGTCATCAGCTGGGGTGTTGGTGTTCCTTGTTCGTACCGCATTCCAAACGACAATGCTATCATTGACGGTTATTACATCGCTTCAACTGATCAATTAGTGGAAAAATAAACTGTATATCCTATTAATTTCAGAAACGTTGTTGTGTTTGAGTCACCGGTACAAAAATGAATGAGCATGCGAATATTTATTTCCTGCAGACTAAATTTGTCTGATTTGATTTTTACTCAAATATTTTCTCGTGAATTCAGATCAAAGGTCAAATGCAGCGCAACGTCCTGCAATACTATTTCATAATATGTATCAAAGAAATTAGCCAACAATAATAGATTATTGATAGATTAACAACACAACAATTAACAGACAATTTAACAACTCAATTATATCACCGAACTTAGGAAAAAAATCACTGTACTTAGGCTTAGGGATTAGGATAGAATTGAATTTAAACCAAATTTGGGCTCGAGGTCGGGTTTGTCTGATTGACGGTCAATAGCCATTGCACCTAAGTAGTTACTATGTATGGATAACGAAAACTACACTAGTTGAATGCCCATAGTCAAAACACAATTTCAGCGCGGCACATCCAAAGTCAAGATAAAAACAACATTCAACGCCGCGCTTCACGGTGGCCCCGCAGTCGAAGACGATGTAAAAAGCGACATAAGCGACCATAGCACAAAACAAGGCAAAAGTGGATACTGCAAAGCGTGACTACTGACTACAGACTGGAGGCCACTGACACTGACATTGGCTACAGGGAACACGATAACTAGAGGCGACCTGCCCTTCTCCACTGTGTTTTCACCCTAAAAATCCCCTCGAGCTATGCCTCAAAGACGATAAAAGTTTCGAGAAATTCCCATTTTCGTTCGTTAATGTATTCACGTCATGCCATGACGTCTACTGGGATGGTGGTGAAACCATAGATGAAGTGTGGTGAAATGCTAGTCGTTGTAAAATGGAAACAGCGATTTGGTAACGGGAAACTCGGTCCACTGGTCCACCAGTCTTCAAGTAGCTGCAAGCTCCGGTATAGTAAATAGAATTAACTATTGGCTAGTCTATATGGAACAGCTGTCGCCAATTTTTAATAAAAAAATAATATAGTTAACAGAATGCAGTAGTGTCTAAAATTATATTTTCTACCTTATTTGTAGTTGCTAACATAGCCATCCAAAATGTTTGACTTGACATAAGTTTGTGTATTCGACAAATGCAGTATTAGTAATTTACGTCTGCACAATCTGTCTGTAGCTCACATCAACAACGACAATTATTTCTATATATATATTTTTTTACCGGCGAAAACTTCCAGCGTCTTGATTTTCCTTGACGGTCACCGAATTCTCTACAAAATAACCGATAGCTCTCGGGACAGTTTTTGAACTTTATTACGAAAAATAACATGAATAATTAAGGATAATGTTGAATAGACAAGAGAAAAATAAAATCCTCAGTTTTTATGACAAACAATTTGTTATAAGTCCAATGATAAAAGACAGCTGGGATCAGGTCGCGCAGTGTCAAAAACGTACTGAAATTTCTCACATCTGAACCGGAGATTTTCACTTCTAAGTAAGTAAATCGATCGATATGATGGTGCAATACAAACGAGTGGTAGCACTATATACACATGGATTGTGTGTAGTGTGTGGGGGTCGCCGGAATTTTACCCCCCTGGAATTTTACCCCCTGGGCAAAGCTGACGTCACTATGACGTAGTAACCTGAGTGGCCAAAAGTTTGTTCGCGGCCGGAATTTTACCCCCGCGGATTTCGAAGTCTAATGAAAATAGTCAGAGCGTGATTAATTCAATTAGCGATAAAAACCGGAATTTTACCCCCTGTCTATATAACAAGTGTTTAGACAACTGAAATGTACGGGCCGGATTTTTACCCCCCGGAATTTTACCCCCGGAATTTTACCCCCCGGAATTTTACCCCCGGATTTTTACCCCCCGGAATTTTACCCCCTGGCCGATTTTAGAAATTGAATGATTGGTTTTATTATTTCTGTATTTAATTAATTGTTAACATTTCATTATTTAGTGGCCTATCTTTATTTATTTATTTTGTAATCTCAACTAGGGTAAGTCAAACGAATTCGAAAAACAATGTATTGTTTGATAAAAACACGAAAAACAATGTTTTACCATGGTTGTATAATAAATCGTTAAAGAAATATTCGAAACAATTATCATTCAGTTGATTGTATATACGTCATATTAACCAAAAGCTGGCTTCAAAGATCGAATCCTAATACTTCAATCTCAAAATTAAAATTAAAAACATGTTCGATTAGTTAATGTCACAAATAAATTAAGATAGGCTACTTAATAATAAAATGTTTACTATTAAATTAAAACAGAATGAAGATAATTAATCATTCTCACTAATTTTATATCTAGCCAGGGGGTAAAATTCCGGGGGTAAAAATCCGGGGGTAAAATTCCGGGGGTAAAATTCCGGGGGTAAAATTCCGGGGGTAAAATTCCGGGGGGTAAAAATCCGGGCCGTACACTCTAGGTTTTTATAATTTGATGTGTTCTGATTAAATTCACAACCGTGAAAATATATTTTTAATTCAGCGTTTAATCCATCGAGCTGATGTCGCGAAACTCACAAGTTCGCGGCCGGAATTTTACCCCCTGGTTTGTGATGTCACGTTTGCCCAGGGGGTAAAATTCCAGGGGGATAAAAATCCGCTACCCCGTGTGTGGCCTGTATGTCGTAAGGTTTAAAATCGTCTGTCGCGGCCGTGGCTTCACGCAACACCTGACCAACTGCGTGAAACACACAAATGTTTAGTCTACTCACTAATGGACAAGAGTTGTACAAGAGTTCCTGTTTGTTGCAATCGAATCATCCTCACAAAGATTAATCCAATTTTATGTATCGAAGATTCTAAACTCCCTTTTAGACAAAAGGCATTCGATAACGTCAATTCCACATTATAAATAGGACAGTTTTTTTATTTTAGTAAATTGAACAACTAGCTACTAATGATATAGTTTACAAGTGAAAAGTGAGAACAACTTTGAAAGATTTGAAAATTAATACAGTAACACAAGGTACCTACTTATAAGTATGGCTGAAATTGTATATTTTGGAGTATATTTTCTTTTCACTATACTTTTGTAATTTGTTAACCATATAGTGTGAAGTAATTTATTTTCGTATTTATAACGGATCAGTATAACTGTCTGTCTAAAATAAGACATTTAACTTGATAATTTAATATTCTGCTTCCGGCAAATGCCAAGCCATGTTATAAGCATGTTATATGGCACATAAGATGTAATGACAATAAGTTGTGTGGCCATGCATTTTATCGTTTTTTGTTTGTGTACGTGTTATGTGTTACGTGTTTTTCAAGACTCATGACGACCTCCTAGGAGCGATTTTTATG